CCCCAAAACCCCAAAACCCCAAAACCCCAAAACCCCTCATATTCCAAATAAATTTAAATAATACTCAAATTTAAATATGATTATACGCAAAGACCTCTTGCTACAAAGAGGCCAGCACAATTGAAGAGAACCAGGAAAAAGCACCAGAGTATCTTTAAGGACTCTATTTTTGGTTATTGTAGTGTTCCTAGCAGCAACACAAGCAGCTACCTTGACCTCTACAGGAGTCTCAGTGGATCCTAATACAGTGAATGCAGCCTCAACTTTAAATTTACGATCAACTTTGGCTACAGTTGTCCCAGCTGGTGGAAGATTAGTGCTGACTTTGCCTAGCTCTATGAGTGTTTCAACAGCTACAGCATTAACATGAGCATTTACTGAACCCGCAAGTCTTGCTATTACAAGTTGATCTTATGTTGGAAATGTAATAACATTGACATTAGGAGGAACCCAATTGACAAATTCATTCTTCCAAGTTGATATTTCTAATGTTGTGAATCCTCCAAGTACGACTCAAACCCCAACTTTTCTTTTCAGGACTGAAGATTCTTCAGGAACAATTCTTGATCAACAGACTTCGAACATAATTTTAGTAGCAAGTTCTGGATCTCTAAGTTCGATTACTTTTACTCCTACAAGTCAAGTTGTAGGTGAAACCACAACACTAGCAGTATCCTTCAAAAATACCCATACTTTGATTGCTGGAGGAAAGATTAAAGTAACTTTCCCGAAATGGAATCCTGGAGCTTTGCTAGCATCGCAAAGGCTCTCAATGATTGAGACAGGATTTGCTGTAACATCAGTGAGCACTAACTTAAATAGCGGGAGTCTTACTGCCACTTTTACTAATGATGTATTGACCATTTCAAACGCTATCACTGCTGATATAGCAGGAGGAAGTACTGTAAGTTTTACAGTGACAAATTTCAAAAATCCTATCTCGACAGCCACCCACTCAGGATTTTCAATTGACACGACTGACTCTAGTGATGGTGTAATTGATTCAGGATCAGGTACAATTAGGATCACAACTTCATCTGCTGTGTATAATGCTGCTTTCTCGGCCTCAACAACTTCACAAGTTCAGGAGAATTCAGTTTTCAGAGTTACTTTCCAAGTCCCAGTGCCATTAGAGTCTGGATGCATTGTAGAGATCAAATTTCCATCAGATTTTACATCTTTCTCGATCAATGAGGTTAGAGGCTACAGTCTCTTTGGAGGACCTACAGTAAAAAGTGGTGGAAGCTTTAATGCTGGAAGTAATACTTATACTCTTCCAAATTCTTGCACAGATTATGTAGCCAGTGGAACTCAAGGTATAATTGATTTTGACTCTATTGAAAATCCGATGTCTACAAGACCTACAGGAAGCGTAGAGATTTACGTAAAAGATTCTTCACAATTTCTGATCGGACAACTCACTACAGGAATAACTCACACATCCACTACAGGAACTATAACAGGAATAAGTCTTACACCAGACAATACTATTGTATCCACGACTACATCAGCGACTATCAAATTTTTGCCTGCTCATAACCTTCTTGATAATGAATCTCGGATAGTTATAACTTTACCATCAGATGTTAGCATTGCTGACCAATCAAGTACTGCTACTTGCTCAATATCAGACCTTCAATTTATTTCTCCAACTGTGACTTGTACTGTTATTAGCAATGTAATCACTTTAATTGATCCCTTCAGCGTAAATTATATCTCAACTTCTTCTGAAATCCTTCAGTTTAAAGTTGCAGGAATGACAATGCCTCCATCCCTCAAGCCACCTGGAAATCTAGTTGTTACCACAAAGATAGGCTCAGGTTCAACCTTTTATGATGTTGATACAGCATCGGCAAGTGGAAATTTTGTAGCTACTGTTGGATCAATGACAGATTATTCAGCTACTCCTTCAAATTTCCTTGCTTATATTCAGACTACTTATACATTTACATTCAAACCTCAGCATAATATCCTCCAGAATGGATATGTAACTGTTGATCTCCCTACTCAGATCAGTATTCCTGATGCTGCTACTTCAGCTTCATCTTGTGCATCAATTGCAGGGTTTTTAACTACAATCTCTTGTGCTGTATCAGGAAGTAGGATTACTATATCTAATGGATTTACAAGTGCAAACTTAGCAGCAGGAACAAGCATCAGCTTTTCAATAAATGGAGTTCTGAACCCTGTATCATTAAGTACATCTAGCTCATTCACTTTCACAACATACGATTCAAGTAATTATCAAATTGATGTCAGGAGTTCAGGAATAACAGTCACCATGACTTCTGTTGGAGAACTTGAAAGAGTTCAATTATCAGCTGCTTCATTAATTAATGGAGCTACTAATGCCTATACTTTTACTTTCAGAGCTAGCTCACCATTAAAAGATGGAGATAGGATCTATATCAAGGTCCCCAACAGTATTACCCCACCTTTATCCCCAACATGTGCTGGTATTCTCCTCTTATCTTCTTCTTTATCATGCAATACTTTAAATAAGGAAATATTTGTAACTATCTCGGCTGCTAGTGGTAGCACTATTGATGCAAGACAAGATTTTTCTTTCTCGATATCTGGATTTGTGAATCCATCAAGTACTAGACCTACAGATGCATTGACTTTTGAAGCTCAAGATTCTACAGGATCATCTATCAATACATACACAAGTGCTATTGTTGTAACTATAACTACTAGTGTAGCTGCCCCAATCACCACCTCGTCCATATCAAATGAGAATAAATTCGCTTCCCAGAGTACAACTCTTTATCTGAATTTTACAACAATCCATGAAATTCCACAAAATGGGATCATTATTGTGGAGTACCCGACTGAGATATCTCCTTTCAACTCTGCTGCAACAACGATCACTTGTAGTTTGAACATTGCTGCAAATCCCACTTGTACACATACTTCAGCAAGCCGAACGATTCAAATTAGTAATATTCTGACTTCTACTTTTCTTGCTGAAGGGACGGAAGTTCGGATTACTTTGAATGAAATGAAGAATCCTAGCACTTCTACCCCAACGAGTTCGTTTAAGATAGGGACTTATGAAGTAGCTTCTGGAACCAATTATATCATTGACCAAGCCACAACAGGTTTAACGATCTCATCCAATTGTAATTTCCCATGTAGAACGTGTGATGCTACTGATAAGTCAAAATGTTCAAGCTGATTACTTGATAGCTCTGGAAATACTCTTTACCTTCAGACTACTACAAGTGGTGGCACCACCACAACTACTTGTGTAAGTAGTTGAAACACAGATTATGTTGAGATTAGCGGAGTCTGAGAAGCATGAGAAAATAATTGAGGAGCATGCCTCTCAACTAACAAAGGAAGCTGTACTCAATGAGGAAAAGCTGCAGCACAGTTTCTTGTCGGAGATAGATGCACAAATAACTGACCTTCTGGAACTTATGGAAATACTTCTACAAATAAATGAGTTAGCTGAGTATTCCCTTGTCAAACTTGCACAAGCTCTACTTCGTGTGAATCATGTGCAGAATTTGATACTTCAGGAAATCCTTCTTCACTTGTAAAATTAGAAAGTAATACATGAAAAGCTTCTTGTACTGCTGATCTCTTTGTTGATATAAATGATGTGTGTACACCTTGTTCCTCAAGCTGTAGCAAATGCTCAGAGAGAATAGATATATGCACTGAGTGAACCTCTCCCTTAATTTTAGATAAATCAACTAGTTCATGTCAACCTTCTTGTCCTGTAGGAACTACTATTCAAAATATTGCTGCGAACACATGTGAAATTTGTAACACTAACTGTGCTACCTGTGCAGGGACTGTGAATACTTGATCTTCATGAAACAGCGGCTTATTGCTGACTACAAGTAATACATGAGCTACCTCTTGTCTTACAACTGATACTTTTGTAAATGGATCTAATCAATGAGTGAAATGAGCTACAGGGTGCACAAGCTGTAGTGGGTTGGCAAACTATTGCGATAAATGAGATACTGCTTCAGGTTATCTCTTTGCAAATTTCACTTGAGTAACATCTTGTCCCTCAGACTTTTCAGTAGATATTTCAGACACTACAAGGTGTATTCTCGAAGGACTTCAATGCCCCTTTGGATACTCAATTGATTCTTCTGGTACCCAATGAGAGCCTTCAAGTGTTGTATGTAGATCTGGATATAAAGTAAACAATGAAAAGACGAAATGCATCCCAGAACCTGGCTCAACTATCCCGTTCCCATTCTTCATAGTCTTCATAGTTATGGCAATTGTAATAGCCATTGGGTCTTTAGTACATAGACAACAGATGATCACAACTTGTCTGATAAAAGCGATTGCAATACTTGAAATTCCTTATCTTATTGTTCAGATTTATTCTGCTGTATACATTTCTTCATGGGGAATTTGAATCGGGACAATAATCGCTCTAGTAGTTCTAATTGCTATTGATATTGTTTTTTATATTATCTACAGTGCTAGTGTGGTTAAAGATAATGCTTACAAGCATTGGAAGGATAAATACAGATGTGCTACTCAAACAATTTCTGTTCTAAGTTTACTCATGAACTTTAAAATATTCCGTTGTTTGTACTCTAAATTCTACGGAGTAACTACTTTCAATGCTCCATTCGAGAGATCAACCCTATTCTACCGGCCCTTAGTGGTGATGACTATCATTTACTTACTGTTTGTTTTAATACCTATTATTATTGTGGATATAGTCACCTTCTACTTTGTTGAATGGGGCTACCAGTTACTTATAGTCGCTATTGAAAGTTTTGTATTCTCAATTCTAATGATCATTCTATCCTTCATTGAGTTCTTCCAAATCAAGAGAAAAGTATTCAAAGATGATGAAGAAGATTATCTATCCATCAACCCAAAAATGTTTGATAATGCTTATACTGCTGCAGGAGGAATTCCTCCTCATGATCCTGGAGAAAGAGTGGGAACTCATCAAAGAGTTAAAGGAATGACAGGACTTGAAGAATCAAGTGCATCCCACCTCTACAACAGTTATTCCTATAATGGAGAAAAATATCAAGATAAGTCTAATCTGTCTTCTATTGGTTTTATTACCAGATTTAATAGTGGTAAAGGGATCATTTCTGACGCTCAGAGAGAAGACAGGATGAATTTACACAACATTGTAAACCAGCTGAACAAAAAGAACCCAATTTTCGAGTCTGGCTATTTAAATATCATGGATCTCAAAGATAATGCTATATTCAAAAGAAGGAAAGATTATGACCCCAATGTGATGCTAGCTGATGAAGAAGACTTTGATCAATGAGACAGAAAATTCCTCCGCAGAAGCGTTAGTTTTGAAGATTTTAGAGAACACGATGATACATTTGCTCCAAACAAGAGGGAATTAATTGAAGAAAAGTGAATCTCTTACCCTCCATCTCCCCGAGAAATGCAAGCAATGGAGCACTACCTCTTTGGAGAAGGAGTTGAACTTGCAAGAGACAAACTTAAGGCTGAATATGCTTACAACAACATTTATGCTGATAGAGAGGGAGAAGAATTTGATCCTGAAGATGAATTTGGAAAAATTAGGGCTAGAAAAGTCCAAACCTACGGTACAGATGCTCATACCGCAAAAGTGAGAGGGACCAATGAAGACCTTGATGATGTTGAAGTAGACCCAGACCTAGCCAACAGTATACTTGATGGTGTCCTAGGAAATCTTTCGGACGATGATGACGACAGAAATAATCAACTTGTGAGAAGAACCAAGAGAGAAAGAATGGCCTTAGCTCAGAAGAGAAAGATGGAGATCCCTGATTTTGCAATCGAAGACATCATGGGAGAGTTCGACATTGATGATCAAGGCAATTACATTATCATCAGAAATGAAGAAAATGGAAATCTTGAAGATAAAAATGAGAGAAGAGTTAACAAAAGAGGATATTTGATTGATGAAGATGGAAATATAATTGACAAATATGGAAACCTTATTTTTAAAGAAAGAGAAATAGACAGTGATGACGAAATTCCACCTCCATACTCATTCGAGAAAAGAAAGATGCAACTTTTGAATCCTAACCAGAAAAACATCGAAGAATACGAACTAGCAGATTTATCACCAGAAGATGATGATCATATTTGGATGGATCCTAAAGGAAAAGATCTTGCTGAATCTTTATCTGGAGATGAGACCCCTGTGGAAAGCCTTATGGGAGAAACCCCAGGGTATTTACAAGATAAAACTCAGAAAACCAAGAGTCGAAGAGGTCTCAAAAATTCAACTATCAATGAAGAGAATATCAATCTTGACCTTGAAAGTCAGAAGGATACAGTGAAGCTTGGTTCTTCAAAGAGACTAGGATCAAAGAAATCTTCGAATAAAACCAAAAGGATGATAAGCGCTAGAGTTAAAGGAATAACTGAAGAGCCAAGACCTGGAACAACTTATGATGGGTACGTCAGAGATGTTCCATTCTATATGCAGAACAACACTCAAATTGGTTCGAAGAAAGCTACTCCAAAGAGAAGGAGACCAAAGAAGAAAGGCTTTATTGATGATTCGCTTAAAAGAATTTATGGAAACATTGATCCTTTCCTTTACAGAGACGACTCTAAAGCATCAGGAGTGAGGCTTGATAAAGTCACAGACTTAAAAATGAAAAAGAAACAACTTGAGCCTTTCAAATTAGCAGAATCTGCTGAAGTAAACGGAAAATTAGGAATGATAGGATCAGATGAAGAAGTTACCTCAGAGATGAACAGATATTCCCGTCTTGAAAGAGTCCCATCCAAATATCAGGATAGATCCACCTTCGGAGAATCTGTCAATAAGTCTAAGCTCAATGATCTTGAGGAGATATATGCAAGAAGAGGAAAACTAATGGAAAGCGATTTCCATGGAAAGAGGTCTCTTTATGACACCAGAATTCCAAGACATCACAAAAATAGTATGGTTAACAGAAATGTCTTCACAGCTGATACAGGAGCTATGAGAAACAAAAGACATCGCAAACAATTTAACAACTCTAGACCATCTGTCGACAACGTGACAAGGCAAAGAGGTATTGAAGAAGGTGGCTGGATATAATAATTCAAAATCAACCATTATAATTCAATTCTAAAATCTATTTTCGGGGTTTTGGGGTTTTGGGGTTTTGGGGTTTTGGGG